AAACGAACGCTTCCCATTCTATTCTGTCACTGTATCGCTTACTTCTAAAACTTGGAGCGGGTTAAACATTCACACGAGATGTTAGGTCGGGCATCCTCGGCAGCAGGTCACGTGGGGTTCAACAGCTCCCTCATTCATTGTAGATTCGTCTCAGCCTTCTCCCATGGCAACTCTTACTGATGGTTTCAACCGATTGTTCGATTTATAGGCATCAAGCTCAAATCTCACCACCCCTCAAAGCTCATTACGTATTCATTACGGAGGCACGGTGGAGTAATGGATAGCGTCTCGGATTGAGGAATCGGAGAGCCGAGTTCGAATTCTAGTCGAATCCATTTATATACGTGCTAATACCCTTGGGAAAGTTATGAATCCTCTTTTACCTCCAGCTATGGGTAAATAACACGATTGACCGGGTTCTATAGCCTTAGATGGCAACTGGTCTACTGCAGTAATAAATGGAAACCTACTGCAGGAAAAAAATCTGCCTCGTCAGTCATGTATCGAAAGATACATGATAGCCTTAGCATGTACCACGCATAACTGACTGACTGACGTATTCATCAATTAATTATTTTCTCCAACCCCGGAGACAACACATCAGCCCTAAACAAAACAGTCTGCTATTTCAAAACAATAAACTTTGTTTAAAAAATCCTTTTTTCCCCCCATCAATAATTTTTCATATTTAAAAATTTACTTCAAATCGCCAATTTCCTTGACGATTTTCAAATATGGCCCAAATTCAAATCCAATTGTTTATATTTTTGGCTTTAATTAAATTCGCTCTCCGGTTGACAATGACCTTCAAATACCAAAACAGTCACCTTTTCAAAACAAAAATATTTATTTCAAATCAGCAAAGAATTTGTCTATAGTTTTACATTCCGTCCTTTTTGGGGAATCATAACAATTTTTATTTGCGTTTCTGTTTATCAGAAAGAAAAAAAAATCTTGTTTGTTCTTCGCTTCATATTATAATTCCTGTTTTTCACCTTAACGTTTTCTTATTTAATATTTTCAACCCTTCCAGTGCTCCAATTCTATACGGGATTTTCACATGAATCCATTTAATGCTACTTCCATACTATCAGTATCCCGATAGCGTCACATTCCTGTCAACTACTACAAGTGACCCTTTATAGTGTCACACATATATAGGCAAAATAAACTGATCTTTTCTTACCCCTTCTAACATATAAAAACCATTGCTACAGCAGACGTTATCTACATGTCTGCGTATTAAAAAAAATCAATAATTAGCATAGAACAAAACATAATAGTTTGAAGCATGGAAACATTGTTTCTTAATTTAGAAATAAAATACAGTGTATCTAAAAAATATGTGTACATACGAAAAATTAACAAAATGTGTGTGTTTTTTTTAATTTCCAGCATATATACAGCGTGTAACAGTAAAATTGCCCAAATCGTGTAACAGCATAATTGTTCATCCCGCAAAATGTTTAATAAAAAACGACTAAATAAAGGGTTCAGTTCGACATTCCAACCACCTGAAGAAGGCCGGAACGTACAACGGCCGAAACGTAATAAATATGGCGTCAAAGATGAGGACAATAGTCCGAATAATGTAAATATATATATTTGGAGCGGCTTGGTGAGAGTAGTCCTGGCTCCAGGGGGCACAGTCCTATGGTTACAGAGAACTCAGTAGAGTTCCACCACGGAATATGTGAGCGAGCGGCGCTATATTGAGTCTGATTTGCAATCTCTTCATTACCAAGGCCTGGTGGAACAGTTGGTATGATGTTTGCTTGACAACCTAACTGTCAGGGGTTTCAATTCTCGGTAGTGGATGCGCACTGCTGATGAGTCCCAAATATAGGACGAAACGGCCGTCCAGTGCTTCCTGCATTCTGTGGAGGTTTCTATCAATTAATTAAATATATCTATATATATATATATATATATATATATATATATCTTCAGGTTATGTGTTTATATATGACAAAGGGTAAAATTATATTCATTATACGGGGGGATTTCTATAGCAATTCTGTTTATGTTTACAAACGGCTGCGGCTGTTTAAATTCAGGGTGTTTTCTTTTCGCCCTCCTCTATAGAAAGAAGAGAAAAATACAAAAGATTAATATATTTTTCTTAGTAAAATAGTGGTTATGGTAAATATTATTACCATTTTTTTTAATTTTTCAATTATTTTATTGAAAATAAATATTTTTTAATCTCGAATCCTATTTCTGATCGTTTTTCAAATCAACATCTCAACATCTCTGATCTAATTTAAACAACGTTTATACGAAATTTGGAGAAAAGTTTTCGAAAATTATTCGATATAGCACTGTTGAGAAAACTATAGGATATAGAATTGTTGATAAAAGGAACAAATGACTGGTTCATTTTCAGGAGTTACTGATAAATAACTTTTTAATCACTGTTTACATTTTTTCTCTATTTTTGTTCTGATGAGAGGGCGGATATACCGGTTTAACACTGATGAGCGAGGACCAATAAAGCGATTTAGCTCTGATGAGGGAGGACCAATAAAACGATTTAGCTCTGATGAGGGAGGACCAATAAAGCGATTTAGCTCTGATGAGGGAGGACCAATAAAGAAATTTAGATGTGAAAACAGAGGACCGATAAACCGGTTTAGCTCTGATGATAGAGTACAAATAAATTGGTTTCGTTCTGATGATAGGGGACCTATAAACCAGTTTATATCTGATGAGATAGGACCGATAAAATGGTTTAGCTCTGATGAGAAAGGATCGAGAAAAGGGTTTAGCTCTGATGAGAAAGGACCGATAAAATTGTTTAATTCTGATAAGAAAGGATCGATAAAATGGTTTAGCTCTGATGAGAAAGGACCGATAAAATGGTTTAGTTCTGATGAGAAAGGACCGATAAACCGGTTTAGCTTGGATGGTAGAGGACCGATAAAACGGGTTAGTTCTCATGAGAGAGAATCAATAAACCGGTTTAGCTCTGATGAGAAACGACCGATACACCAGTTTAGATCAGATGAGAGAGAACCGAGAAACCGGTTTAGTGGTTTTTATTCGTTTGATTAAGATATTACAATTTTACGGTAATATATATTTTTGTTACGCGCTTTTTTTTTTTGTTATGAACTATATTTTTAATGCATCTGCTAAAACCGTCTCATATATTTGTGCTGCCTGTTCTCAAAATGTGAGGCGATATTGACGCGACTTGCTGTCGCTTATTCTCCAGCTATAAACACGAATTTGAATGCACATACAAAGTGTGAAAGATAATTGTTTTTATATGCTATATGTTGAGCTAAAACAAGGCCCAAGATCAACTCAAGTTAGAGTGTTACTGAGTGAGGTTGCTGTTTTAAGGTCGTAAAGAGAGTAAATAAGAAGTGCATGTTATGAAGATATGTAGGATGGATAACGGTTTACCCTAGACTTGAAAAGGTTAAAATTGTAGTGGTCGGTGAAGCATAGTATCTGGATTACAACTCATATCAATTCGGCATTAAATCTCCTTCGAATTAGTCGCCTTCTGTAGCCACTCACTTTATCCAACGCCTTTTCCAGAGGATTTCTCTTTTTGAGATGAAGGGCCGCTGAATGGTCACATTCTCTTAGATTTTGTCAACCTGTTGAAATCTTGTTCCGTTCATGTGTGATTTGATTTTTGAAGAGGAAAATGTCACAAGGGGTAAGACCTGGGAAATATGGCGCGTTTGGGAGCTGGGGAAAACTACTGTACAAGAGGTGGTCACTGATGGTTCATCTGTAATGTGGTGGGACAACCACACTCTATACAGTTTCCTATAATAATTCTGGGAGAAGACTGAACAAAACGTCCTCCTCTAAAATGGATGAAGAGCTAGACTTCTGTACATGGCATTAGCTGTGAAGAAGACATTATTATACGAGGTGGGATAAAAATAGTATAGGGATTACAACTTATATCAATTCGGCATTTAATCTCCTTCGAAGTAGTCCCCTTGTGTAGCCACTCACTTTATCCAATGCCATTTCCATTAATGGAAGCGTTCCTGGAGTTCTCTTTTTCGAGATAGCGAACAGCTGAATGGTCGCATTCTCTTGGATTTTTTTCGACGTCTTGAAATCTTGTCCCTTACATGTGTGATTTGTTTTTTAAAGAGTAAAAAAGTCTCAAGGGGTAAGGCCTGGGAAATATGTTGCTTTTCCGAGCTGGGGAAAACTGTTGTACAAGCCATGGTCACTGATGGAACCTCTTTGGTGTGGTGGGACGACCACACTCTAGACACTTTCCTTCCAGGCACTGCTATAAACAACGGAAGTGAGTAAGAATGTTACAACTTACTGTGCATAAACGGCATAGTTTAACGTCAGTCTGTACCAAGCGACTCACATTACCTCCGTTATCATGGCAACAGTCTCAATACTTTTTCATCAGACCACGTATAATTACATTTGATTGGACACAAATATATTTATTCAATGTCTTAGTACTTTTATAACATTATATAATAAAATTTATTCGGAATATAGACATCATGATTCAGTTTGATTTTTATTGCTTCAAATATTGAATCAAAGAACGATGTAATATATGTATTTCATGTTTGGTAAAATATTTTATGTTTTTGTGACAAAATGGCAAAATCATATATAAGGCTTTTCGACCCCTAAATGACTTCATCAGGCTAAAGTAATGTTCTAACTGATGGAATTATATATACGTAGGTAGTGGGGACAGTAAAAACATAAACGTCGGTTTTAATTAGGCACCATTTCTTCATAGATTAATTGGTATTAAAAAAAAAACAAAAGGTTTATCAATCTTTCGTGGGTTATTTAATACTAGAAAGACTTTTTTTATATTGTAAGATTTTTTGGAGATAATGATTTACTGATACAAGTCCTACTATTTAACCCATAACTTAGGGGAGAAGAGGTGGATTCATACTTTTTCAAGGGTATTTCAGCGTAGTTAAACCGACCCCTTTTTCCAATGCTAAACTATTATCCATTGCACAACTCCCAAATTCCAGCTTACAGCACTTGGTTTCCCAGACGGTCACCCACCTAGGTACTGACCAAAGTCGATTTTGCTTACCTTTGGTGATCGAACGAGAGCCGATGTTTCAGTCTGGTATAGCTGTAGGCCCTAATTACGCTGGAGAAATAGAGTCGCTAAAATTTAAATTATGAAAGTTCGACGGGTCACGTAAATTTATAGACCCTTTCCGTCCGTCGTCAAGTTGCTTCTCTGTGCCTTTTCTTCAATTACTTTCATGGTAATTGTTCGCATAAGCTCTTCTCTATGAACCTAGACTTTATGAAGTTAAGCGCAGTACAGGCGACGGGTTCTCACCAACTTACCTTTGAGTCGGCTAGATATAACAGTAACTTCTATACTAACAGATTTTTTTCTCGCTCTTCTTGTTTGTGGAACTCCCTTTCAGCTCCATATAGTCCATCTTTGATCTGCCAAAATTTAAATGCAATGTCAATTGCTATCTACTGTCATCCTGATTACTCTTCCATTGTTCTCGCTCCTTATTAATGTTTCTGTTTTTTTAATTCTTCCTCACCTTGTGTTTTGTTGCTTTACTGTCTAACTTGGGATGAAATCAATTTAAAAAATAACATATCCTCCTGTATTTAATGCTGTAGGCTATGGCGTGAGGAGAACAACAACGACATATTGTCATAGATAATACTATTACGTAATGAGTAAGAATTTTAAATACCGTGGAAAAATGCTGCGTATTATACGACAGAAATAAAAAAAAAACTTTCAAACTGAATTTGTTTTGAGTATAAATAGTTAAAAATATAAAAATTACGTATCAGCTTTTGTGATATCAGTCACCTGGAATATTTGAGAGAAGATTGATCGAAATTATTAATGCTCTATATCTTATAGTCGTAGAGCAGCCAATTCTGACTTTCCAGTCTTGATAGAGTTCAATGTCGTATACAGGCGGCGTGTGAGGGGATATTTACACATCGAGGCAAGTATATTACTCTTCTATCATTATTTCTCTGGCAAATGTTCAGACGAGCTCTATTATTTATTTCCGTGAGTTGAGATCTGCCATGCTACGTTCAAGGAGTCACGTCACACTCATGCCTTCCGCATACCGATTGTAAAGAAAAAAAGATTCGCTCAGACAGCTTCTTTTCCAACAACCGCTACTTTACACTATTTACATTGTTTGAACTGTTGACCTCATCTTTATTGTCACATTCACAACATTTCAGTCACTGTACACTCCGGCCTTCTTCAGTTGATATTTGTATTTCCAACCGAACCCAAAATAGTCTATATGTATGTTGGCGTTTCTGAAGATTGGTTCGATGACGTTTGTATAAAAAATTGGATTTTCTTTGAATGGGACTGTCTTTTGCGGCTTTGATTTCCATTTGAGTTGAGCTAATTCTTTTGTTGGGCAACATTGTAACTATACTGACCAATATGCAACATATTGGATAAGTGAATGTGAACGCTAAAGAAGTGTCCGAACAATGTAAATAATGTAAACAGTTACAATACCTCATCTCAGGAATATAGACAGAAACTGAAGAAGGCCGGAGTGTACAACGGCGGAAACGTCGTGAATATGACAGCTAAGATGAGGACAACTGTCCGAACGATGTAAATAGTGTAAATGGTTACAATACCTCATTGCAAAAATATAGACAGAAACTGTTACTTTGTAGAATAAGCTCCCTCGTGGATGCTTCCCCGAAAGGAACAGTCTAACTATACTCTAACTTGGGTAGCTCTTGAGCATTCTATGGGGGAAACTTTAGAAATAAAAACAACTGAATGCTTTGGTGATAATATCGGTCGTGACCATTCGAGGTTGGTACAAGTTTAAGTGTTTACTCATTTTTGCACGATGAATATGACAGGTGAATTTAAGTTTATAATATCGGTTTGTGTTGTTGTTCTTATTCGTTTCTGTGTCATGTTCCTTCCGGTTGTGGGCTATCATATCTGGCCACAATTTCTTATCCTTTATAGACCTTAGTATAGTTTACTTTTGCTACATATCGTAATCACTTTTCTGCCATTCATTTACATAAATTGTTAGGTAGGTTATTCGGTGCTTTCGTTCGCGCCATCTTCCCTAACCCCTTACTGCGAATGTCCCATTTTCCAAGCCCTCTTTCCTCATTATGTACCCTAGAAATCTCAACTGCCTCTTTCGCATTCTAAGTGAAAGCGTCCTTTTTGTTTCCATTTTCCTTCGAACTTTATTGTTAATAATATATTCAGTCCATGGTATTCTCAGCATCCTTCTGTAGAATCATATCTCTGTTACCCCAAGTCTCTTCTTCATCTGTGAGAAGATTGTCCAGCATTCACTGCGGCTACATAGGAGAAACGTTACTACATTTAAGTACTCTTTTCTTTGTTTCAAATTAAATTATCTTATTTTTAATTATTTGATTCGCTTTTGCAAGGTACTTTTTACTATTATAATAATTGATTTTGAGGTACGATATATTATTATACAACTGAAATCTTTTCATTTTATAGTAAATAAATATATATATTTTAAGACATTTATATGTTTATACTTTCTTTTTATAGATACAAATATTTAAGTAAATGCTCTGTTTTATAATAAACAGTATTTAACAACATTTACCGGCCTGAATGTCCGAGAAATTTTCATAGAAAATTTTCGTCCCGCGACAGGAATCGAACTTGTATCCTATACGAAACCATCACATAGCCTGACGTGCCTTTAACCGTTTCGGTCACAGAGGTTAGCATGATCGATTTCACTGTCTTTAAACTTTAATCTTCCATGAATCTCTTACGTACATTCATCGAAGATTAAAGTTTAAAGACAGTAAAATTGATCATGCTAAAACCGAATGCTCCTCCTTCAGGCCGGTAAATGTTGTTTAATACTGTTTATTATAAAACAGAGCATTTACTTAAATATTTGTATCTATAAAAATATGTATAAACATAAAAATGTCTTAAAATAATTGTCGGACGTTGTCGATTTCATAATGTGTGACGTCATTTGTTTACATTTGAAACACTATGAGCAGATACGAATGTACGTGAGAGATTCATGGAATTTTAAAGTTTAAAGATAGTAAAATCGACCTTGCTAACTGAATGCTCCTCTGTGGCCAAAATGGTTAAAGGCACGTCAGGCTATGTGACGGTTCCGTATAGGATACAGGTTCGATTCCTGTCGGAGGACGAAAATTTTCTATGAAATTTCTCGGACATTCAGGCCGGTAAATGTTTATTACTGTTTATTATAAAACAGAGCATTTACTTAAATATTCTTATCCATAAAAAGAATGTATAAACATAAAAATATCTTAAAATAATTGTCGGGCTTTGTCCATTTCATATATATATACACCTAGTGAGCCAAACAAATACGCTTGTATTGAGCTCTTTTGTTAGTTGTTTACTCGTATCGGGTTTTTTTCTTTGGGCTTCAAACCTGCATCTGTGCGATTTTTTTGTCGGCAGAAATTCATGTTTGTAGCTCTTTCTTTTTTTCAAAACCTTTTTTTCCCTCGAGATTGATTTGATTAGTGGCAAATCAAAAATTCGAGGGTTTTTCGAAACGAGTATAGTTAACTATATTTGTATGTATATATATATATATATATATATATATATATATATATATTGATCCGTATAATCTAAAAAAAAATAATTTCATCCCTTCAATAAGGCAATAAAGCCACTAAGATGCAAGAGGCTACTGTGTGTGAGAGAATATGAGAAAAAACTTAATGTTACGGGGAGAAAAGAACCGGAAGTAAGAAGACAGTAGATAACGATGGACCTTGCATTTACATTTTTGAAAATCAAATTTTTCTGGGAAACAACAAGTCGCAAGCAAAATCCATAAGCAAGACGTGAGACAAAAGAAACTGTTAGCATTGAACTTATGGTTTCATCTTGGCATTTCAACTTTAAAATGATGAGACCTTGCCGCCAATCTAGTACTGCGCTTACATTCATAAAGTCTAGGTACCATAGCGGAAATTTCATTAGAAAAATAGCCATGAATTTTTTTTTTTTTAAGAAAAGACTCAGGGAAGCTATGTTACGGAGGTGAGAAAGGGCCTGAAGCCGAGATGTTAGGTCAGGACCGATAACATCGCAGATTCTTCTTTGGATTTTATCAAGAATTTCTAAATATATAGCAGGAGCTCCAGACCAGTTGAAAACAGATAATTGTCATGCATCTTAAGAAAATATAACTTCGCTATAGAAACAAAATAATTTAAAGTTATAATTTGAAGTTATTGAGTGATGAGAAAACATTGGAAGTTTCAAAACAGTTTAACAAAGATCAAGAAAGAAAGAAAAATCTCAATGAAATCAAAATCAAGACAAGAACAAAAAAACTGACAATGAATATCGGGAGAAGATATTTGAGAAAAAAAAGATTAAAAAACTAACAAATAAAATATCAAATAGATTGATCAGCAAGAAAACTTTTTAGAACTTGACTTAGAAGACAACAGTTGAGCGATGGATAATGTCTGGGGTTAAAATATCAGCAGTAAAGTTAGAATTCTCTTGGAAATTGATGTCAGTATGAATATAGATTCTAAGAATTGTTCTAAGTGCTAGACAATTTTTCTCGCCATAATTTATCTTGCACATTTATAAATCTACCATTAATCTGTACATTGAGTATTGTTGCCATATCTGGTTTGGTACTCCGGTTATATATCTGGAGATTCTTTAATGCTATCGGCCCTGATTTGGCAACTTCATTTTAGTCATTTTCTCGTTGCTATGCCGTGGCTTTCCCGTGGCTTTTCGATAAATATCGTACTGGCAGTTGTTCTATAGAGCACTCTGCCTTAGTACGTTGACCGCATGAATTTAAGCGTACTACTAGATTGGCTGTTAGGTCTCATCATTTTGAAGTTGAAAGGGCTAGATACAATTTCTATTCTAATAGTTTATTTTCTCTGTACCTTTCACCTGTGGTACTCTCTTCCGATTTCTTGCTTCCCTTCCACCTACGATTCTTAAAAATTTAAATACAATTTCAATCGCCATCTTGTGCTTTGTTCTTTTCTTGTTCTATCTCCACATTGGTCTTCTCATTGTCTTTCACTCCCAGTAATACCTTGCGTCTTAGTAGTAT